TTTGGGGAGGGGGCCCACGCTGTTCCCTCTCCGCAGCCACAGCGGCAGGAAGCGCAGGAAGCGGCTGCCCGGCCGGCGTGGCGGCATTGGCGGCACCTCCATCACGGCCTGGCCGTTGCAGGAGGACGAGGCGGTGCTGGGCCTCGAGGACAGCCCCGAGTCGGCGTCCGGGTCCGGCACGTGCTGCCCGAGGATCTCCGGCACGGACAGCCTGCGCTTGCCCACCTCGGGGGGGCTGTCGGGGCAGACGGTTTGGCAGGCGGTGGCCACGAAGGGGCTGGCGAGGGCCGTGGTCATCCTCACCATGTGGTCCATCACGCCGTCCTCCTCGGCGTTGCGGGGGAAGCTGAAGGCGAACATGGCGCGGATCTTCTCCAGCAGCCTCCTGCTCCGGGATTTGGGGCTCAGGGCCCTGGCCACCAGCTCGGCCAGGGCCGGCCACTCGGGCCGGTACTGGGCTCCGAACTGCTCCGCCCGCGGGCGCCGCAGGAGGGTCCGGATCCGCACCGTGGTCTCGAAGCGGCCGGTGAACCTCGCCCATTCCTTGGCCGTCTTCCCCTTCACGGCGTCCACCGCTTCCAGGTCAGCCCCTGGAGGCAGAGGGACCCCGAGAGGGTCACCCCACCCCGAGCAGCAGCGCCAGCTCCCCCCTTCTCCCCCGAAGGCCCCGGGGAGCCCCTCACCCGCCAGGAGCAGGGCGGTGACGCAGTCCTCCCGCCCCTGCACCGCTGCCTTCATCAGCGCCGTCAGCCCCCGCGGGTCCCGCTGGTCCACCTCGAGCGCGGGGTAGTAGTTGAGGAGGTAGTTGACGATGGTGATGTGTCCTTAACAGCCAGAGAGAAGCTGCGTTAGAGTTCCGACAGTTAATGGGGAACAGCGGCCCGGTGCCTGTCGGGGGGGGAGGGTTTAGCAGCTGTATCTCATGAGGATGAAGGTGCAGAAGCTTGGAGGGATCAGGACTGAAAGGGTTTGGGTTTATCTTGTTTTAGGTTTGGCTGTGGAGGGAACAGCCCTGGGGCACCAGTTGCCTTAGCAGAGAATGCAGGAAAGAGTCCAAAAAATGAAAAATCCTGATAAAATCATCAATTCGAGCAAGGATACAATGGGGTGAGCCCTGCCTTGGGACCCTCTTCCTTCCCCCTGGGGTTATTCAGGGGGAGGGACCCAGACCAACAGGGAAAACCATCTGGAGGTTTGGCCCCTGTATGGACCTTGGAGCCTTCGGGGAGGTAAATCCCAGCAGCTTTTGGGGTTTTCCTGGAGCACATGGAGTGGTTCCAGCCCAGCTCTGCCCCTCAGCATGACACGTTCGGGACAGAACACTGGAGGAATTTCCATTTCTGCACCAGTTCTAAGGTTCTGCTGGGGTGAACCATAAATGTAGCTGATGTCACACAGCCCTTGGGATCATGGCTTTCCCAGTAGCTCATTTTAGTTTTTTTTTTTGGGGGGAAAGCACAAGCCCCTTCCCGGGGGCTGCCCGTGCCGAGGCCGAGGGCGGTGCTGACCTGCCTGTGCTGCCATCATGAGGGCCGTGTTGCCGTCATTGTCCTGCTGGTTGACGTCGATGTAGGGGCACTTCCTCAGCAGGGGCACGATGTCCACGAAGCCCTTGACGCAGGCGACCATCAGGGCGTTCTGGAGAGGGGACAGCCCTTGGCACAGGCACTGCCCCATCCTCCCACCACGCCTCTCCCATGGCCTCCCCATCCCAAACCAGGCAGACTCAGGGTGGAAGGTTCTGCTCCAAGGATTGGGTCGACCCCAGGGGGTCCATTGCACCTGGGCCTCTCCCTCCTGCCCCACCAGCTTTAGCAACCACCAGCCTTCAGGATTTGCCTATTCCTGGAAAATCCTCTTTCTGCCCCGTGGGATTCCCCTCCCAGCCACTCACCCTCCCGTTGACGTCCAGCTCCGTGGCCTCACCGCGGGTCACCCCCGACTCCAGCCTCTCCCACACCAGCTTGGCATCATTCCTGGCGCAGCACTGGTACAGGGTGAGGGCCCCGGTGCCCTCGGCCTCCGAGGAGGACTCATAGCAAGGGTAGACAGAGTCATCGGAGAAGATGCTGCTGCTGTCCAAGGGCTCTGAGGGCCCCGAGGACTCCTCCTGCTCCTCCTCCTCCTCCTCATAGTACAGCTCCGGGTCGGAGTCATCCGGGCTGGGAGTGGGGGCTGCAGCGCGTTCTCCTCCACCGCAGGCATCTGTCATCCGGCCCGGCCGGGGGGAGCGAGCCCAGCCTGGCCCCGCGCCCTGCCTGGGGCCGGGAGCCTCTCCCGGGGGCACGAGGGGGCTCTGGGGACGGTCACTCCCCCTGTGCACACATGGAGTGGGCGTGGGAGCCGTGTGGGTTCTGGCATCCCCCTTCCCCCCCAGCTAAAAAACCCTCAGCCGGCTCCCAGCGCCCGGCACAGCCCAGAGGGAAAAATGGGGAAACGTTCTGGGAATTGGAGAGGTGGGTGAGTGTCCCGTGGCCCAGGTGTTGAATCCAGGTGGGCAGGAGATCGGGAATGCCTCCAGGGATGAGGAGCTGCTGATGGGGGAACCGACTGCCGAGGCAAGTGCCAGCAGCAAGGACACATCCACCCCTCCAACGCCACAGTCTGGGCCTGAGCCCTTCCCAGCCACTCTCCCCATCCTTCCAGCGCACATCCCAGGGCAGGCAGGCACCTTTCCCAGCAGAGCAGCCAGGAGCAGCTCCCAGATCCCCCATGGCACAGGAGCTGAGGGCAGGGACTCAGTGGCTGAGCCTGCCAGCGGGAATTAAACCCTTGTGCCGCTGAGCAGGAGCCAACAATTAATTGGTGGGAGCCCCCAAAGCAGAAAAAGCTTCCGGAATTCCACTGAACTCTCCCAGCCCTTGAGCATTCCCAAGCAGGGCTGGAGGATGTTCCCCTCACCTTGGTCTTACCTGGGGCTGCTCAGACCTTCCCCGTGGGTCCTTCTTCAGCTGGGCAGCATCCCTGCCCCAGCCAGGAGGGAAGAGTCACCAGGAGACTCTGGAAACCCCCCTTTCAGGGAGAAAGAGGTTTGTGCTCCGGGGTGAAGAGGCCTTTTGACACCAAAGCTGTGACAACCCTCACGTTGACGTCGGTTCAGCTACCCAAGAGATCTTAAATTAAACTGTTGCTTAAAATGGCTCCATCCACCCTGAGCAGGATCAGGGCAGGATTTAGTGTCTTTAGCCAAGGAGCTGATGGGAGCCCTGGGCTGTATTTTTATACCTGTCTCACACCGGTGGGATGGTGCTGCCTGAGCAGCCCCAGGGGCTCAGCTGGAAGTCCCCAGGTTACTCTCCAGCTGCCTTTATATCCAGGTAAATTGGCTTAGCAGACAAATTTGTGAGTCTGCTGGTCCTGCCCTCTAGCCAAGTGCTTGGATGTCTGAATGGTGCAGGTAAAGCCAATAAACTCTGAGATTCCCCCTTGGGAGGTGCCTTGGAGCCTCCACCCCACCTCCTCCCCTGGCAGTGGATTCCAAAGCCCTCAGGGCATCTTCAGCCCAAGATTTACAAAAAACTGGTTTCCCAAATTCCACGTGAAACCTGACTGTTCTCTTATCTTCATCTTTGAAGGGTTTTTTCTGTGTGTGGTTGGTCAGTTTTTGTGTGACTCCTGGGCTTCAGGGGCCAGCTGGGCTGTGGGATCTGGGAAAGGCCATTTCTAGTCCCAGGATCAGCTATTTTTGTGCCAAAAAGGCAGGAGTTTGGTGCCAAGGCAGACCGTGGGAGGCCACATTCCCCATTTACAGCAACCACTGAGATGGAGTCCCAAGGGTCACTTCGCTGCATCCTTGAACGTGAAAACACGGAGCAGATGAAGGATCCCAGCTGCTTCCTGTGTGCTGGGCTCATCCTGCTGGGAGGAACAGGCTGGGAATCCCAGTGCTGAACACCAGGATCCTGGAGCTGGAGCTCCAGACCGTGATGCTGAACACCAGGATCCCAACTCTGAACGCCAGGATCCCAACTCTGAACACCAGGATCCCAACTCTAAACACCAGGATCCCAACCCTAAACACCAGGATCCCAGCTCTGAACACCAGGATCTCAACTCTGAACACCAGGATCCCAAGGCTGATTGTCCAGAGCCCAGACACGGCGTGGCCATCGCGGTGTGACCCCGGTGTAACCACCCCCTGCCACCCTCGGGCTCTGCCTTATCTCCGGGGAGCAGATTTAGGGCTTAGGGAGTCATCCCCAGAGCCCCGTGCCGTAATCTGCCACCTGGCACAAAGTGGGAGGCTCTGAGCCGGTTGTGTAAGCCCGGGGCTGGGTGCCCAGGTAGGTGCCGAGGTGGGTGCCAGGGGAGGTGCCCGGGGCTGGGTGCCCGGGTCGATGTCCAGGTGGGTGCCAGGGGGAGGTGCCCGGGTGGGTGTCAGGGTGGGTGCCGCGGTCTCTGCCGCGGTCCTGCCCCTTTGCCGGTGCCCTCGGTGGGGTCGGGAGGGTCCCCCCCCAGCACCGTGGGGTCCTGCTGGGGAGGCAGGGCTGGAGAGGGGACCGGCAGGGTGGCACCGGGGGACGTTTCTCGGCCAGTCTTTCGTGACAAGGGGGTTTGCAAAGCCCGCGGTTGCCACCAGGGGATGCCGGAGGCCGCAGGAGGCGGTGGAGCCCCGGCCGGGAGCGGGGCTGGAGCGGCCGCGCTGGGAATGGGGGGTCCGACCGGTGCCTCCAGCACTGCCCGGGCCCCCCGCCCGCCGGATCGGCCTCGTGTCACCTCTGGAAGGGCAGCGGGCAGGGCTGGCTACTTTCTTCTGTTTTATTCTCATCATCATCACCATTATTATTATTTTTTTTTTTTGTAAGAAGTTTGTACGTGGAGGTCAAAGCATCCTCCCGACCGTCAGAGCATCCTGCCAGATGTGACGGCGTCCTGCCAGATGTGACGGCGTCCTGCCAGGCATCCCGGCATCCTCCCGGGTCCCACAGCATCTTCCCAGATGAGATGGCATCCTCCCGGACGTCACAGCATCCTTCCAGCTGTCATATCACCCTCCCGCAGGTGATGGCATCCTTGTAGCCGTCATAGCATCCTTCCAGATGTGGAGGCATCCCTCTGGACCTCCTGGCATCCTTCCAGATGTGATGCCATCCTCCCAGGCTTCATGATACCTACCTGAGCCTTCCCTGCCTGGGAACCTGTCCCTTGGGGTCGTCCTGGACAGAGGGAGGGAGGCAAGCACAGCTGGGAGATAAATAACCCAGCTGACACAAAGGAACGATCCCTTCCCAGCGCTCTGGATCCGGCTGCTCCTCTGCAGGGATGCTCTGCTGGGCTCCCCCTCTGCTGGTGATCCCGCACACCCTAAATCACCTCTGACCCTCGGGAGCCTCGGCACAGGTTGGGGGGGGGCTGGGGAGGGGCTGCAGGACAGCCCTGATCTTTCACCCCTCACTCAGGGTCCGGCTGGGAGCGCCGAGCCCGGTGGTCTGGCCCAGGTCACTCATCCCTCACCGCCTGGTCATCTCCATCACAAAACCAGCAGCAATAACTCAGCGTGGACGGGAAGTGGAGGGCGTTGATTTAGGTCTGGGGACGGGCTCTGCTCACCCTGTCCCTCCTGAGCAGTTCCCTGGGCAGGAGCAGGCTGAGGGGACACAGTGACACAGTCCCCATGCCAGTCCCCTGCTGCTCCCATGTTTGGGAAGTGGCCAGGACAGGGCTGGTGCTGCTGGGATCTGGGGGGACTGAGAGGTGTCTGGGGTGTCACATCCCGCTCCCAGCCCGACCATAAATCAGCGGTGGGTGTCACCAGAGGAGATGACAAAGCCACCCTTGGGCTGAGGGCCGGAGCAGCTCTGGGGTCAGGCTGTGATTTATGTCCCTGTGGATCCCGCTCAGGGCTTTGGGGTGGGCCAGGGGTTCCCAAACAGCGCTGCCAACTCCCATCCTTGTCCAGGCACCCCAGCACCTGCCTGCAGCCCTTTCCCTTCCACCAGAGGGACAATCCCCCCTCCGGGTGGGTCCTGCTGTGCCGAGGAATGTCCCTCCCTGCTGCCGGCGAGGACAAAGCAGGCAGAGCATCCGTCACACTCCGCTGGCCACCTCGGGGAGCTGCTGCCCCCGGGACAACAAACCCTTGTCCTGTGCCCGCCTGGATTCTCCTGGAGGATCCTGGGGGATTCCACGATGGCACACAGGGAAGCACGTGCTGGGAGCCAGGGGGATTCACCGGGATTTACCTCCCGTGCACGTTAAGAACCGTAAAGCTCCTCAGCCTCGGGCAGGCAGGGCTGTGACACGCAGGAGAGGTGAGCTCTGGCAGGAAAAAAAAATACGGAATAAAATAGAAATCTGACCTTAAGCCCCCTGAATTGACACAGAATTTCACAAACCCAGCGCAGGCCGAAAGGATCCGGCCCCGTCAGAGCCAGGCTCTGCTGCCTGAAAAGGCAATTAAGGACTTGGGTGCCTTATAAATTAATTTTTTTCTCATTTTTTTTCTCCTTGACAGCAGGATCAAAGAGGGTTTAGGAGGATTTTTCACTCGAGTTCTTCCATTTGCCTTTTTTTTGGGTTTTTTTTTTGGATTCCAGCTCAAGGGCAGCACAGCTGACATCCCCTGAGCCCAAACTGGATCAGATAGAGGGTGTCCGTGGGGAGCAGAGTGTGGGGACAGGCACTGGCAGCCAGGATACCAACCCAGGGGGGTGTGAGCCCGTCACCCCCTCGGCACAGTCTCCACACTCACACTGGGGAGAGGCTCCAGCAGCTCCCAAACCTGCAGCTCCATCCGTTCCCATTCCCACCCCGCCATCCTCCTTTTTAATTTGGGACCTAGGGGTTAAAAAAAATAAATAAATGCCAAGAGAGAGAGGCTTTTCTGATTAAATTACAGCTGGAGCCAGGGATCAATTTCAATTTCTCCCTGGTTTTTTTTTTTTTTTTTTATTATTATTATTTTGGAGGAGGGGGAAGCTCCGGGGAGGGCACAGAGGAGCGGGGAGAGAATCAGACTTGCTAATTCCCTCCTGTCATTATTCCTGAAGGGAAACGTGAGGTCCCTGGTGTGCAGGGAGTAATTTAGGGTTGCCTTCTATGAAATTTGGAAGGAGAGGGGCTCCCCCCACCCCCGGTAATTGTGTTTCTGGTGCCGCAGATGGTGCTGGCTCCGGGTCTTTGCTATAAAGAAGATGGATCGTGGCGTGTGGAGGGACTGAGCTCCGTGCTGAGCATTATCCATCAGCCCTTTACGAGGCAGCAGGAGCTGGG